AATTATAAGTATCATTGATAACATCAAAAAAATCAAATTAAAATACAAATATTTTATTTCAAATAATACATACATATTGGTTACTCAACAGTACAAACTTACATACTAATTAATAGATTTAGGCATTACTTTGCGAAAGTTCATGTCAATAAAAATGGAAGTAAATTAATTTTCTACTCCGCGAACCTAGTGAAGGTTAAATCGTGCAAAATAAATGTTGAATATTTTTTCACGCAGTTAATTTTCCCACCCTCAACTAGAGTCACAAACCACCACCAAAAATATACCCGACACGTGTCTCACCTCTCCACGAGGCATCCTCAGGGGCTGTTGATTGCTCGACACTCGGCCGAAGAAATTGTAGAATACAACCCCGCGGCAAGGTGCCCAAGAAGCAAATAACGTTCCCACTTTGTATTGCTATTCTAATACGTTGGGCAAGGTAGCCCTTGGGTTTCCGAGGCAGTCTATTAAATTAAGAGTTCTTTATGAAAAACTTCGTCCAGGGAAGTACCTTACCTTAATAAGAAAGAAGATAAGAAAGAAAATATCCTTAATGTTAACCTTACAGCTAAGTCTCCCTCTCTCCCTCCGCATAAAATTAACAAAATAATGAAGAAGAAATTCCTCGGCCGAGTGTCGAGCAATTAACAGCCCCTTAGGATACCTCGTGGAGAGTCGAAACACGTGTCAGAAATATTTTGTGATCGTATCTGTGATTGTAATTGCGCTTGTAGATGTCCTACGGGATTCTCATGTGGGGTAAAGCGGCAGATATTCAAACCATATTTGTATTGCAAAAACGAGCGATTCGTTCTGTGTACCGTCTAGGCTCTCGGGTTTCTCTCAGAGAAAAGTTTAAGGAGACTGGTATCATGACTGTGGCATCACAGTACATTTACTCAAATATTTTATATGCTCGTAAAAATATACATAATTTCAATAAGAAAGAAGATATCCATAATATTAACCTTAGAGCTAAGTCCAAACTCATGGTACCACGATGTCGTTTAACCAAGGTAAACAACTCTTTTATGGGGAACTGTATACGTTTTTACAATAAGATTCCGGAGCATATAATAAGTTTATCATTTCCTAAGTTTAAAAACTACATTAAAAATATTTTGATCGAAAAATCATATTACAAAATTGAAGACTACGTGTTAGATAAAGATGTATGGAAAGACGACATGGCTCCAGAATCCACACAAATTTGATTCAAAGTGTATTCCATAGCATTTAAGTTTATTTGAAAAGAGCAATCCCTAGAGTTTCTTGCTCGTTCTTCTCAGGGAGGTCAGCGTAGTGAACGAGCAGTAGCTTAAATGTGACGTTTTCAAATGTAAATTTATTTTACCTATGGAATAAATAATCTTTGACTTTGACTTTGACTTTGCGTGTGTTATTCACAATTTAAAGTATCTAAGTTTGAGGAGTGTTTTTTTTTATAAATTTTTGTTATGGCTCTTTCTTTCACCTTTATCGTATACAACAAATTTATGTGACCGAATATCTATTTTATTGCTCCCTATTGGCGGTTTACAACATTTTCAGTTTTAAGGGTCGATATAACCTCAAGTGGCTTTTGGATGACGCATTTTTCAGCCATTATTGTCCCACTGCAGAGCAAAGCCCTATTGAATCAGTATACGGTGTGAAAACGCGATTTCTAAAAATTTTCACGATAGAAAATTTAAAAAACTTAGGAAGTCAGTTAAAAAGATATTAAATATTTGAAAGAAAGCAAGAACACTGTTTATAACACAAGCACAGACGCGCATATAAACAAAATAACAGAGGAACAATAATAATAAAAGAGCTAAGTTAAAACAATTGATAATGCAGTACCGAACCGTCATGTGTGTCGCGGCTGTGCAATCGGGATTTGCTCTTCTTTAGCCACGGAGAGGCTTTTTTTAAACCATTTTGTGGCGCTGATTTCCAGCAAGCCCGGGCGAGTGAGCCGCTAACAACAATAAATAAATAAACAGATAAGATGTAAAATGTTTCACATCGGATTAAACCGGATTCATCGTCTAATTAGCCACCCTTATAGGTGGAATATTGTCTTCAAATTAGAATGGGACCGCCACTGAAGACCTTCCAAAAAAAAAAAAGAATTATCGAAATCGATTCACAATTGACGGCATAATCGCGTAATATACACACTAAGCAATTAAAAATACGGTCGAATTGTTTTTTTTGAAGTCAGTTAAAATATTACATTTTCTTGAATGTACTGTCATGCTAATATAGTTCTATGACGCTTTCAATATACGTACTGTAACTGAGACGTAGCTTGGGTTGCGTAGCGAGAGGTACTTTTATGAATATAAACTGGAATAATATTCAAAAATTTACTTTATTGCACTTTTTTACATGCTTATAGTGTTGGGTTACATTTTCGATCGCTCCAGATGCTCTATTCTTTTCTTACTTCATTTTTCAACACACATTCTAATTACAAAACTATTCAATCAGCCAGTGATTCTACTCATAGAGTAGAGCCTAGACTACAGTACTCAATACTCAATACTCAATATATTTATTGCATTCAAATGGTACATACATGTCTTAAAACTAAAATAATGCTACACGTTATGAGCCCTTTGTTAGGGATAACAGTAAGAGCAGAGGTAGGCCGAGGTTTCAATTATCAATTAGAATTGTTATTTATCAAATAAAAATGTAAAATAAAAAATATGTCATATTATAAGAAATACGTCATATTATAAGCAGAATTCTTTGGGTTTGTGTTTTTTTGAAAGATTTTTTGTGTTTCTTGGACCATTTTTGTACAATAAATTAAACGCCAAATATTCCATTTGTAATTTCTGTTGCTTTAAGGTAAAGAAAATTCTCCAAGAAGCTTTCAAAATATGTCCTATGAGGATACAGAGAATTTATTTATTATCGTAAAATAAACGTTGTCTTGTTTAAGTGTACATTTTTTTGATTGGCAATTTATTGTTTAATTGTTTAATTTTATTTCATAAGATTCTCCTAAAAAGTATTTATAATATTAATAGTATCCACGTTTATAATTTGTAGTACTTTTTACCTGAAATATAGGAATTGCCTAGTTCAGGTACATGTGTTATTTTTACACTAAATCGCATAAGTAGTCTTTAGTTTTCTCTGTACATTATGTTACTGAATAAACAATTTTATTATTTATTATTTTTTATAGAATTATGTCACTTGAAAGTTTGAAATTAATTAGATTACAATAGCACAACTTTATAGTATATAATTAAGATTTATTTATTATTCAAATTTATTATAATATTATTATTTTTATTTGTCATCAAAGAATTCATTTAAATTGTGAGATAAGTAACGATTTATCTTCATATAAGCCGGTTGCTGTAAAGTTATCAATTTCCTTTTTATTTTCTGATTTGGGATTTTAAAATATAACAATCATCGTCACAATGAAATTTTCAATGCTATAGATATAAAGATTACGGTGAAAAGGGATAAAGACGTAACGTGGATTAAAATACATAGATTAACAGGGATAATGAAAATAAATGTAGAGGTAATCCGTATGCAAGTGCGAAATACGTGATAAAAATAACGTCAAGGTTAATTGTAGGTTTAAAATTAATCATTATAATAATTGATATAGTTTTGAAAACGATATCGTCATTGCGGATCTAAAATTACGTATACTTGTTATTTTGATTTACGGATATTTGATTTTTAACCGGCTTTAAGAAAAGGAGGAGGTTATACGTTCGGCTGTATGTACGTTTTCAGATATCTCTGTCAATTGTGGACCGATTTTGAAAATTCTTTTTTGTTTGAAAAGGTGCACTGTCGTAGTGGTCTCATTGTCACCAAGTTAGAATCTGTTGAGGGGATCTCATGAAAATCAAAGGAAATCTTTAAATTTTATGGGCATGTCTGTTTATTCACCAATTTCTCCAACAATTGTGCACGGATTTTGAAAATTCTTTTTTGTCTCTTGAGGTGGTCCCTAATTACATATATACAAGTTAATATTCTAAGACACATTGTATCAAATAAAATCCGACTTCAAATGAAGGATAATGATATTGGTCTTTTTAAACATTGTAGAATCTTACCTGTTTATACCCAATTTAAGTATATGTTTTTAATCTATGTTTTTTAACAACGATCTTAAACAAGTAATAAATCACCCCGTGTGTACGCGAGGGATGGCTGAGGACCGGTTGCTAACGAGTCGCGCGAATAATGTGTACGGCTAAAGAACATCTACCTTCCCTCTTCCCCGACTTATTAATAAGTTGCCACTGGAACTACGAAATACCTTAACAACCATTAATATAAAACATAAACTTAAAGATTACTTTGTACAAAACTTAAAAATATGTGATGAACATTTAATATAATAAGATGAATGTATTTACCCAATCCTATTAATTTTAGTAACATATAATATTATAGATTATTTATACAAATTACTTAAATATTTACACTTAAATATAAGCTTCTGCTAGCATGTTCAAATTTGTATTGTGTAGATACAGGTCGCATTATGACAAACCTTAGCGGTTTAAAATGCGATTAGAAACATATTTGTGTATTTTGTCCTTTATACAATAAATAAATAAAAAAAAACTTAAAAAAAATATTTTCTGTAAATAGAAGTCGACTTTTCACTTGACAGTATAAGTGTAATCAACAAACCACCGTCACCGTGACCACCAGAAAAGAGTATAAAATCTGCAAAGGAGTCAGAATATGATGAGGGGATCCCATGGAATTCGGAAATAGCCGATAAGCAAGCTTTTGAGGTCGCTTTTTTTTCAATGAAAAGCTACAATTATTACAAGTCACTTTCCCAATGTGATACCAAATGACGTCATGGACATTCGGCTCCCCTGGTAGTAAGCTACAATGACGCGTATCCATAATAATAGGGTTGGTACAGGGTCAAGAGCACGTCAAGCTTTACACTTATGACTTAAATCCAACTCTATGCCGCTTACAATAAAAACGGTCCAAAGTACAAAGTGTCAAGCTTGATGAGAGCTGCCGTCATTACAGTCTGGAGAAGCTTGGCTTCCAGACCCCTGAACAAAGTAGATGGTTTGTCCTTTACGTCCTTAACAAGAGGCTTCAGACCTGTACCAGCACGAAGTCTGGGTTGCACTAACTGGATAGGATATGTCATAGTTGTAGCCATTGACTTACAAATAAATGGACGACGGGTCTAATACAAAAACCACGAAAAAAATGTCCCAAGTCAACCTATTTAAACGTAGTGACATTTAAAGGAATATTAAAAAGCTAAAACGTTGAATTTAAATTGTAATGTCATCGCAGTGCTGTCTAATTTTGATTGCTTCGCTGTCAGTCGAACAAACGAAGACTAGAGCGTGAATGACGCTCTGTATACGATTTTAACGCCCTATAAGTTCGGATACTTTTTAGCGCGGACCCGACGTCCATATAATTGTAAGTCAATGGTTGTAGCAATCGCTTTAGCGACAGCACCTGCTAGGAATGCTGTGTACGTATCAAACTAGCCTTTAGAGGTCATGTTTCTCTTCAAAGATTCATATTAACTGCCTCCGTGGCCTAACGGTTACCATGCCGGACTGCCACGCAGAGGTCCCAGGTTCGATTCCCGGGCCGGAAGAAATAGTTGTATGGCCTACAATTATTTCTCTCGTGAGTTTGGATGTAATTTGTGGTTGTCTATGTGTGTGTCCATGGCACCCGCGACACAGGGTTTCCCTAGTGCGGGGCTATGTTGAATGTGTGCGTTATTATTATTATTATATACCATGAATTGCATAGCTGGATTTGTGACAAGAAGAAGAGAAGGAATTGTGCCCGACCACAGGCCCTTTGCTCCTTCCTTTCTATAAAGTTGATACAGTCCTTGGAACAAGTTTGTGTATGTGTTTGTTTGCATCTTATTGTCTGTACAACAGGGCGCGACTTAAAACGCGAGAAACTGGTATTCTCGCTTATAGCTACGTCGTGCTACGTTACAGATCCAACAGTGTTGCCAGATCTACTGCTTTAACAGTAGATCTACTGTTTATGGCCAACGTCTACTGTTCTACTGATAATTAACACAAATCTATTGTTTTTAGAAATTAGTTCTGTTACAATCATTTGTTCTATCCAAATTTACCAAATCCGTGGATACCAAGAAGATTCAGACAGCGATTAACCAATATGGCATGTGCATGATGTAAATACGTTTATTAATTTCAATACTTTTTAGTAATTTCAAAAAAAAAGACCCGTCCGTGCTTGCTACGGTTACACCAGAATCGGATAATTTCCTAATAAAACTTGAACACCAGCAAATTGTTGAGGCTTTTTCTTTGATGCAGATTTAACCAATGGTTTTATCATAAACGTTCTATGTTCTGTGTTGAAAAATAAAATCTATTTAACCAACTGAAAGGGAGGTGGCTCACAATTCAACTCGACTGGACTTTGTACTTATGTTACGCGATAACTCCGGCGGCATTTGAGAACCCATTTTAATGATTTTTTTTTATTGTGAAGAGGATACCTCGGTGGTGGTTCCACTTAAATTTGAAGTAAATATTTCACCTCTAAGGGTGGCAAACTAAAGAGTCCGCTTACGCGTACTTTCCGGTAATCGATTTCAATGAAACTTGGCTTGGAAATAGATGTAATTTCATGGACCAACTTTCCTCTATTCCCACTAGTTTAGTTATCCAGGTCAGTTGACTGAACTAATGAGATTCTTTTCCTCGTTTGTTGAGTTGAAAATAAAACAAGCTTTTTTGCTGGACCTGGTCTCCAATTTTTTGTTAAGTTTCGTCGGCCCCTTGTTGGTGGGATGACAAGCAAACTACTACGTAGTACTACGAATCTGGTGGGGTATCAAGCACATAGTTAAATGAAGAAATGAAGAACAAAATTTCATCAGTTCAGTCAACCGAACAAATGGGAAAAAGAATCTCGCTAGTTCAGTCAACTAAACAAACAAAACAAACAAAACAAAAGACCTCATTAGTCCTGTCAACTGAAGTAGTGGGAATAGACCTGAACTTTTGAGGTCGGTTTTTTTGATACTCAGTACCATTGACTTACAAGTATATGGACGTCGGGTCCGCGCTAAAAAGTGTCCGAACTTATAGGGC